ACACATGATGACGTAATACCAACATCCATGCGAACGAAATAGGAGAGGATCAAACACGTGTATAAGAACTTATGCGACAACCTAATATTAGGTTGTCCCGAAAATTCTGGGACACTTTCAGACTTCGAATTAAGTTTATTCCAGTGGGAAGCAATTTTGATCAGCTATATATATGTCACCTTCATTGGCAACTTGTTGCCAATCACTACGCAATGTGTGGTTGCCCTGCTTCCAGAAGCCTCTTAGTTCTGTGGCCAGAAAGGCAGCTGGGTCATTTTTGAGGTACTATCAAAAATCGTATTTTTTTACCAAGAAGATGGCCGCTGTGGGATTAGTTTAGATGGCGATCGGAAAGAGCTAAGTCAGGGCTACAAGACTGTGGTGGAATTCCCCAGCTAAGCTTCGGGATCTCGAGCAGTGTCGTTTTCCAAATGTTTGACCCTGAGGTGTGGTGGAGTAGGCAAACATTGCTCGGTTTTGGGACCAAATGGTAGAGATTTTCCACCCCACTTTGCAGTTGATTACAATAGGGGCTCCCTGGTTACCATAGCGTTGGAAGGAGGGAATTCCGTTTCGAGAGCGGAGAAAGGTACCCCACCACATACACAGCCTCACCGCCCTACTGGATTGATAGGATTGCGCGATCGGTTCTGCCCTTTCTGGGGATCTAGCCGCTGGCGCTCCCAGGAGTGATTCACCTAGAGGCACCCACTCCATATCCAGTTACAGTGCTGTTCAACCAGCCCGTACAGCGGAAGCGGGAGAGAAGTTGTAGACAGTACCCACATGTGCTCCCCTTGGAGTACTGGTCAACTGATGAGAAAAATTTTGACCGAACTTCAGAACTTTTCTAAGGGAGCGAGGCCTCTCTCATTTGTGCTTTGGGACCAGTCAAGTGTAAGGACTAGATAGCAAGTTGATTTGTACGTATTGGTTTTAATCAAGGAACACAGTAGGTCCAAATCCAAGGCAGGTGGCCTCCTTGGACGAAGTTTTTCACCCGGATAGAAGTCACTAAAGCAGAAGCAATTGAGCCATTCCAAAGCCGTACTGTGGAAGCTAACATCAAGATCTAAATAAGGGAAATGCCGCTTATGGCTCCAACCACGTTGTGGCTTGGTAGAGATTCATATAGCGAAGTGTGTCGAAAATGATGAATTTCAATTACCGTTTTTCATATGAGAACAGCGACTGCGAGGGACGGTGAAGAAGCTGTGGAATGCTTACCTCACACACTTCCCATAGACCACATAACTGGATCTCGAAATGGCTGCGGAAAAATCTGATACGAGATTCAAGTGTCCCAGAACTTTTGGGACAACCTAGTAGTAGTCATTTTGAGTCCTACAAGCAGGGCACGCCATAGCGTCGTGATAAATTTCTGCGAAATACGACCTCCCCCTAGTTCCATCCTCTGATACGACCCCCCTCTTCGTCCTACTTACCACTTTCCTAGATTTTCGAACTTCCTACCACTCCAGTTTTTTCCAGCATTTTCCGAGAATATTCCTAGTTTTTCCCCAAGTTTTTGCTGTCGAGGGGGGAAGTCGTCAGGAACTAACTACTATTTTCAACTATCGAAAATAGGGCACTATTTACCCTTTACTGCCCCAGCCATCCGAAATCAGGCCAGTTCCTGACCGACTTTTTTCTCCGTGGGCAGAATTTGCTGAAAACTTGGCTCCAGGGGTAGTTCGACCCGCTGAACACGAATATCGCATCCGCTTGACCCGAAACCTCCTGGCGCCCGCGCCACGGGCGCCGGCGCCAAAATACTCGAAATCACCAAATTCGCTGAAAACTTGCTCCCAGGGGTAGTTTGACCCCTGAACACGAATATCGCATCCGCTCAACCCGAAACCTCCTGGCGCCCGCGCCACGGGCGCCGGCGCCAAAATACTCGAAATCACCAAATTCGCTGAAAACTTGCTCCTAGGGGTAGTTTGACCCCCTGATCACGAATACCACTTCCATATTGCATGAAAAAATGCATGACCAACGCTTCTTCGAAAATCCCGCGCTCGCCCAGCTTTCACACGCAAGCTCGTGGGAAATGGGATTTCCCACGGAATCGTGTGGGAATTGAGTGTTTCTCGTGGTGACGTCTTCAAAACTGACCTATTAACTTGGAAACTGACCTATTAAGAGCGAATACTATTTCTCATGCAAGATAAATGTGAAATTCGTGTTCACATGGTCAATTTACCCTAGTTGACAAACTTTCAGCCAGTTTAGTGATTCAGAGTATTTTGGCGCCGGCGCCCGTGGCGCGAGCGCCAAGAGGTTTCGGGTCAAGCGGATGCGATATTCGTGTTCAGCGGGTCAAACTACCCCTGGGAGCAAGTTTTCAGCGAATTTGGTGATTTCGAGTATTTTGGCGCCGGCGCAACTTTTCAGCGAAATTCTGCCCACGGAGAAAAAAGTCGGTCAGGAACCGGCCTGATTTCGGATGACTGGGGCAGTAAAGGGTAAATAGTGCCGAAAATAGTAGTTGTATAGAACCGTGGCGGCGGCGCCACCAACTAGGGGGGCGGGGTACATAGCACCAGTGAAACGGGAAAAACCGCAAAAAGTCAACAACCAGGAACAAAGTGGCAAACTCCTCTCAAGTCAGAAAGAAGCAAATACGACACCTCCCCTCTTTATAGCATCTGCGAAACAAGAGAAATCAACTATCAAGGAAATATTTCTCAGAGCAAATACTACTCCGTGGTAAAATACGACCCCCCCCGTCCTGATTATCACCACGATGGTAAGCCCTGCCTCCAAGGGTTCTTTCTTATTACTCCGATGCTCAGGCTTTGGTCCAAAATTTCTTATCGGTTCAAGTTCGTAGTACTATCAGTGAAGAAGCAGCAATCTTATGCTACACGTGATTCTTTGGGTTTGGATTAAAAGAATACGGTGTGATAGGTTGGATAACTCAATCATGGGAAGTTTTGCCACTTATCGAAGTCTGTCATCGGGTGGGAAGGGGGCCAGGAGACTCCGGTCGTAGTTTGATCCCCACAACAAGCATACCATACTTGTAACACAAGAAAATACATGGCGCTCACGTCACAGGCTTCGGAATCCATAGGGCACCCCGACACTGGAATTTTCAGGAGCGAGAGAAGGGCTCTGAGTTAGCTGGGACTGGAGAAAGGAGCTCGCATTTAGTCAGATGATCTTTTTGAATTGCCAGTTCCCTTCCTGAGGGTAGCCTTGCGATTTTACCAATCCCCTTTTCAAGAGTATGTATCCTGAAGGGGTGTCATACAGAGGAAAATTTCCCTGGGGAGCGGATTTCTCGTTCCATGCTGATGCCTGCACAAGACGCCGAACGATTCCCCATGGAAAGCTAGCCCTGTTTTCATTTGATGCAGAGACACCTTCTTTGGTTGTCCAAGGTTGTCCTCCCTGCAGGAGTGAAGGATGTGCTTCTTCCGCAGCTCAAAGCTACATTAAGAAAGCGCCGCTCGCTGGCGACGGGACCACGGCCCCGCCCACTGACCACGGCAATGTCCAACTTTCATTTTTGGCTGCTACCTGATGGCTACTAACTCTTCCAATTTGGATGGTAAAAGTGAGGTGATAAGAAGAAAGAATGGACACCAACAAGTGAGAACACGTTCGACCACGCCCTTCCTTCGCCTCTTGTCAGTGAAAGTGCAGTTTAGCATGGGGTACTATATAAAACATTTCCAGCAATTTATTACTGTTTTTTTCTTCATCATTCACTACCACGCCATTGGTATTTGAGCAGCAAAACTCCCCGGTTTCGAACCCGGGCGTGCCGTTTAGCCTATGAGAGGTCAGTGTTCAGAGGTTCAAGCCACATCTAGCAACAAGTTTCATCGAATCTGGTGACCTGGGTCGATCTGGGGCTGTGGCGCACCTCAAGTATTTTTGCGACTGGATGATGTAAAATTTGTATTCAGAGGGAAGATCTCAAAAAAGTGATTTAAATCATATTCCACGAAACTTTTGATAAAAATACAACTTAAGTTCCTACAAGGAGATCACAAACGATAAATACAGAAGGGGAGGAGGCAAAAAAGACACTTTATCGTCACATATCAGTAAAGTTTATAGCCCAGGCAGAAGGCGTGGATACGAGTACTAGGTCGGAAGGTACCCAAGATGTTCCTCGATAAGCGCAAGGGGGCTCTCTTCCATCACCACCAAAATAAGGAGCCATCTCCACTCGCAGCCGGACTGGAGAAGGCCTATGGAATTCACGTCACCTCCAAACAGCTGCGAAACTTCTTGTATGGAGTCACCCATGGACAGCTACCTGGGACCAGCACTCTTGATCTGGAAGACCTCCAACATCGAGCAGCTCCGACAACGTCGCTACGGTCCAGGATATCATCTTCACCGCAGTCGCCAAAGGCACGTTTTGATGCATACCTTGATGCCCGACATTTTCTCCGTGGACCCCGGACTGAGAACGCTGACGGTTACATCGACCAACTTGAGGAGAATATCCTGCCTTCATGTCGTCGCCTGTACCTTCTTGGAAACTTCGTACTGCTACAGGATTGGGTGACACCACATGGAATCGAAGGGCGTTGGAAAACTCTCGCCTACTTGGAATGGAAGGGCGTTGAGTACCTGAAGAAGACGGAATATCTGAGCGTGTCACCTGTCTTAAGCCTCCTCGATTACCGCGTCCGGAAGGAGCTCAACAGGGTGGTCTACAGTGGCGGAGAAATCAACGACCTCGCTGGTCAGGCACCGAATCACGGTCGCGTGGCAGAATCTCTCGATGGCGTTCGTCCAGAAGGCTGTGGCGGAGTTTCGTGATCGTGTACAATGTGTTGTTGAATATGATGGTGGAAATTTCCAATCGAGGTTTAATAAAGTGTGTTTTATATCTTCTCAAAAGTGGAGGAAGAAAAGCGTCTTTTTTTTGCCCCCCCCCTCCAATGCCAGAGAGTTTCATGTTATACACAGCCGAGAGTTCTTAGTTCTGTCCATTTATTAGAATAACCCAACTGTCGTTTAAGGAGGAGATTATGAAAGATGTGATGGGACATATGTGTACCATTATGAGAATACATTTGACGTGGCCGAGCAGCTCTTCAGATTTACCATCTACTGTCATCGCAAAGGTGGGCGTTTATCAATCTTAGGGTGTAAACGTGCTTTTTAAAAGTTGTTTCACTAGGGAAGGTCGTCAGGTCGAAGTGGCCATTTGTAATGAGATGTAGCTCACTAGACGTGGTTTTGGACGCTGATCTCGAATCTGCCTTCGAAATTTGCAGAACGATTCTCTGAACGGAATTATGAAGGTTTGTTAGAATTAAAATGAAGGAAACGGAGTCGAGCGCGGTTGCCAGCCAATTCGCATGAATAGCCGGGAAGCACCCTTACATTCAACGGCGGCATGGTGTAGTGGTAATGGTCTTGCTTCGCGGGCATGCCATGAAGGGTTCGAATTTCTGGAAGGGAACTTGTTTTGCATTTTGTGGGGAATGTCTCTTTTAAGTCTAGAAAACACTCAAACGCCAAATGGGTGCCATATTCGTGTTCAGGGAGCAAAACTACCCTTGGGGACAGGTTTCTAGCCAGATGTGAGGTTTTGACCTAACTTTGAAAAGTGGAAAAGCAGTTGATCGAATGATGGTCACCAATAGTTCCAGGGCCAGTCTCTTGTCGATTGCTTGTCTTTGGACGGAATTTGCTTTTAGATACCAGGAAAACTGGAGCAGTAACAACATGAATGCGTAAGAAGTGGCAAGACGACTTTGTGCAGGAGAATGTATCTGCAGCTGAATAGGTGTGAACATCAGCTGAACTAACCCATGGACAACTAACCCCATGGCTTCACTTATCGACGTCTCAAAATGCCAGATTTGGCTAGAAACCTTTACCTAGGCGTAGTTTGCTCCGATAAACACGAATATGGCACTCACTCAGCGCAAAAACGCCTGCACTGATGGTCACCAATAGTTCCAGGGCCAGTCTCTTGTCGATTGCTTGTCTTTGGACGGAATTTGCTTTTAGATACCAGGAAAACTGGAGCAGTAACAACATGAATGCGTAAGAAGTGGCAAGACGAGGCTTTGTGCAGGAGAATGTATCTGCAGCTGAATAGGTGTGAACATCAGCTGAACTGAACCCATGGACAACTAACCCCATGGCTTCACTTATCGACGTCTCAAAATGCCAGATTTGGCTATAAACCTTTACCTAGGGGTAGTTTGCTCCGATAAACACGATTATGCCACACACTGTATTCAAGTCGACCACAAAAAAACGCCTGCACTGCAGCCAAGGGCACCTGTACATCCAAAAATTCTTAGATCACAAGGCACTAAGCGCGCCAGTAAGCGAACGCAAACTGTTTTTCAGGCAAGTCAAGGAGAGCGCTAATGTAGTAGTGACGCCACAACCACTTTTTGCCACGTTTGCGCAAGAAGCAAAAAAGTTAAGCTCAGCAGGGATCCGATCCCATGACCTGTTGCGTGGTAAACGCGGCTCCATAACTCCGTTCAGAGAATCGCTCTGCAAATTTCGAAGGCAGATTCGAGATCAGCGTCCAAAACCACGTCTAGTGAGCTACATCTCATTACAAATGGCCACTTCGACCTGACGACCTTCCCTAGTCAGTAAATCGGCTCGAGTCCTGTCGAAGTCGAAATTTAGTTTCAGAGATTTATTTGAGGACATTTGTTGCCTCATGGTTTCATTCTTTTAGATACCCAACACGGCAGCACTGGTGCAGAAGCTCGAAGGGGCATATGGTGATCAAGCCCCAGTTGCTACTGCTCCCGACGACTCATTTCTCCAATATATTCATGAAAATGAAATTGACACCTACGCAATGCTCAGCAAAAGTGAGTTATTCCAGTATGAATGAACCAGTAAATGAATTCTCAAACCTTCAAGGTAAGTGCGAAGGATTAGCTGTACCGTTCTTCTATGGCGCCCTACCATTTTCATCGCCAAGCCCTTGTATTCTCATCGAAGATATTCATTCTAGCGGAACTGTGGATCTAATTGATGGATTCAACGATGATCAGGTCAATTTTAAATGTGGTCTTGTGAGGGCAGAATTCTCTCGCTGTGTTCCTAATTATGTGAATTTTCTGCAAAACATAACCATGATGAAAAATGGAGGTTGGTCCTTCCAAAGTGCTGATGTAGCACGAGTACGCGGCCCAGTAAGTTGCCCGCATAGATGACGTGTCGTTGGCGTTAGATAGGGTGCCAATGGCGCGTTTCTGGGCAACACCAGCACTTATACAATAGAATTTTTCTCTTCTTAATGTGTTTTGTGGAAGTCATTTCATTAGCGCATCGAATGAATGGTTAGGGGCGTTCATACTTCGCGATGATGCGTGTCGACGCGCTACGATTGCAACAGCTCTCCAACCCTATTTATGCGAACGCAGTCGCAGGCGGGATCTATTGGCGCCGGCCGCTTGTGCTTTGAGGGGGTATAGGATAGCAAAAGGCAGTAGCTGCCTTCGCAAGTCTGGTATCTACCATTGTTCTGTACTCTACCAAAGCCCTAGCGGCCACCGCCGATCGATATAAGACCGCGTGATTGGCCAACTCGTACCCTCCTGTCGCCTCGTTCTCTCTCAGTGCACAAGAGGCCGGCGCCTATCAATTCCCGTCAGCGGCTACGCTTTACAAGGAACGCTGTTGCAAGTGTAGCGCGTCGACGCGCTTTACAATGCTTTACAGCGCGTCCTTGCGCGTCATCATGAAGTCTGAATGCTGCCTTACCTCACAACTTTTGAGAGAAGATGGACCAATGGTACTTCCGCCTACTCCAATTCTCTCAGTTGCGATCTACCATTTTTGTCATTTGTATACCTGTTCTTTCAGCTTTACGCAGTTGTGGACCAGCTCGCTGCACTTCATGCTTACTGCTTCACGCATTACGAGTGGGAACGATTCAGCGAGAGATGCATATTTCTTGAAATAGTAGGAGAATACTGCTGTAATAAAAGAAAACAAAACCAAACAGATTGGGATGCGCGACTTTTGTTGCTGGGGATTGATAGTGCATATTATACGACACCTCAAAGACACGCTTGTAGTTGCGTAAAATCAGTAGTGGTGTTTAGATGTGGTCCTGCAGCCGCAAGTAGCTTTTTAGAGAATGAAAAATTAAAGAAAAACGGCAAAACAGCCTCTTCTGTGGCCCAGTTAGCGGTTTCATTGTCCGAGTTTTCCGAACTCAATGCTTTCATGCCAGCGCATCCATAGCCTGCAGCACTTGAGCATCCTTTGGCTCGCAGTTCATTTCTTCGCTTTATTCGTTACGAAATACCATCCAACACTAGGAGAAAATTGCAAACTAGCGTAGAAACTGAGCTCTCAATGTAAGCAACTTTTAAGATTTCCCAGTCAGCAGCTACAATTACTGAAACCTGGCGAACTAATGCACCTATACAATCGCATAATTGATGAACTGAAGGGCGGCCAAAACGCACCCTTCCATTTGTAGCGTAGTGCTTTCTTTTTCGCGCCCTTTATTAGAAACCATATAACGATAAAGGAATGACTTGTGTTCCTTAGTGCGGTCAGCAAAAGTGGACACGCAATTCAGGTAGGTAGGTCGATGCTCAGCATGTCACTAATTGACAAATGCCCACGCCTGACCTTTGATCTAAAGAGGAAATTTGTAGTGGGCGGTCCTCCTGTCATGGGTGGCGTATCTTAACTTATAACGACCTAGACCGCCTCCACCAATCACTGCGATATGCAAAAAAGGGCAGTCCTGAAACTAATGCCGAAGTAGTTGGAAAGAGGACGAATTTTTCAAACCGCTTGAGGTGTGTTTCAAACATAGCACCTTTTTAATATAAGTCGACTGTTTTTTATCATTCGAAAAAAGGTGGGTGAGGAAATCGAAGAATTTCTCTCCTGCCAATGTCAAATAGGGTTGCAGGTGGCATGTTATCTGAAATGTACCTCCTTGAAACATGATATATTCCGCAAAAAAAGCTGCAGGGGACCAACAGGTTCCAAAGTGTGATTGCTACAGTGCGAAACAACACAACTATTTGTTTCATCCCCTACTTAATTGTGACAGTCTAAAAGAATTTGACACTAGCTCTCTGCAACCTAGGAAATTTTTTGATTTTTCGTGTAGCCGGAATGGACATCGGGTAATTTAGGAGGGCACCGAAACATACCAGCAGTTTCTGAAGATGAGCGAATCAATGAACGATCATCTGAGGAGTCAATATCCTGTGCTCAAAGAAGGACTCCAACTCCTGTACGACAATTACACCAAGAATCCATCGTGGTGCCTGGAGCAATTTCGTTACTTTAGGAGTAAAGGTAGGTTCCATTCCTTCGTATGAGGGGCTCAAAATCAACCTTACACCTCCCTGCACCTCCACTAAAAGTCGTAATGGTGTTGAGATAAATAGTCCGGGTACCGAGGTGGAGTTACTTTACTTAACAACTGAAAGATGCAGCTGATGCCCACAATAAATAAGGCATAACTAACTGACGGAGTCCAGCTTATAAAAGCAGCGCTCGGACTTTGTGACGACGCCCGACATCGCGAAGTTTATACACTGCCTACAAAGAGACTGTTTCTTTCTCCTAGAAAGAGAAATTTTTAGGTACACTATATGCGTAGGCCGTACTGAAAAGCAGATTTGCTTCGAACTAAACTTGCTTGTTTCAACGGCAGTATGAAGGTGCAAAATTCATTCCAAAAAAACTTAAAAGGCATGAAAGTCTCAAAGGTTCTTCAAACCTACTTATCTCACTATTTTTCGGTGTTTAGCCACTTGGCCATTGTCACTTCCTTTGAATAATAAAAATACTATATTGATGTAATTTACCCAGACTGGCACCCCAACCAGTAACCAATGAAAGGATCCGCTCATCAGCCGTTCAAGCGTTACCGCTCAAGAGAAAGTATCTTCTTCTTCTTCTTATTCTTCAGCGTTTGTCCCGCTCTGTGGCGGGGTCCGCTCTCCTGATTTTGTTACGCCATTTATTCCGATCAAATGCCTGATCAGGGTGAGCACCAACTATCTTCAAATCCGCGTGCAGCGTGTCAAGCCAACGTTGCCTGGGGCGTCCTCTCGGCCGTTTGCCGAGCACCTCGAGCTGGAGACCAGTTTTGCAGACGGTGTCCGCCTTCGCGCGAAGTACATGTCCATACCATCGGAGACGAGACTCTCGCATTTTATCAACTATGGGAGCTACGCCAAACTTCTTGCGTATGTCATCGTTGCAAATCCGATCCATACGGGTGACACCGGCCGTCCAACGTAGCATTTTCATCTCCATCACACTAAGGCGGGCTTCGACTTCCTTGGTTGCAGGCCAGCACTCAGCCCCGTACAGCGCTACTGGTCTGACCACAGTTCTATATATCTTCGATTTGAGGTGCTCTGGTATGGTCTTGTCGCACAGAACTCCAGTCATCGAGCGCCATTTCGCCCATGCTGCACTCACACGAGAGTTCACCTCTGAGGTCAGACTGCCATCGGACACAATTTCTGATCCAAGATACTTGAAGGCTCTTGTGCGTGTGAGCTCGATGCCACTGATCCTTAATGGAATCGGACTCATTTGTATCGGTCGTCAAGTATTCAGTTTTCTTGATGTTCAACTTCAATCCGAACTTCGTCAGGCGATCAGACCAAGCTTGCACCTGCTGCTCGAGTTCTTTCTTGTCTTCACTGGCCAGCACCACATCATCTGCGTAGAGAAGCGTCCATGGACTCGGCTTCTGGAGATCTCGTGAAATTGCATCCAAGACGACCACGAAAAGGAGTGGAGAAAGCGCAGAGCCTTGATGCACTCCTACCGTGATGGGAAAGTCCTGCGAGGTGCCTGATGGTGCATGCACGCGGCTCTTTGAGCTGGAGTATAGGATGCGCACCCATTCAATAAGCTCTTCGGGAACGCCGTGTTGCCGCAATGCGTACCATATAACTTCACGCGGAACACGATCGAACGCCTTTTCTAGGTCCAGAAAAGCTAGATGCAGTGGTACTTGCTTCTCACGATGTCTCTCCAGCAGAAGACGCGCTGCATGTATGGCATCGATGGTGCTACAACCTGCCACAAAGCCGCACTGATTGATAGAGAGAGCTGGACGATTTCGCGGATACGGCTGTCAACGATTCGCTCGAAGATCTTCATACTGTGTGACAGCAGGCGAATTGGACGGTAGCTGCAGTCCGCAGGGCTGCCCTTCTTCTTCCAAATCGGAATCGTCGTGCTCTCTTGCCAGTCCTTGGGCGTCTTCTTCTCAGCAACGACCTGATTGAAGAAATCCGTCAACCATTGTGCAGGGTACCAGCACCGTGCCTTCCACAAGTCGGCTGCCACGTCGTCAGGTCCTGTTGCTTTGCCTGACTTCATCTTTCTGAGAGCCGCCTTCGTCTCTTCTACGGTTACTTTCTGAACGGGACCGTATACTGGGGGGACGAAAGGGATGGCCGGGTGCGCATACTCTACGGTTGAAATATTCTCAAAGAAGTCGTGCCATCGCCTCAGCACCCTCTTTCGGTCCATCAAAAGGCGGCCATGCTCGTCGTTAACGCCAGGAAATTTCTCGATATCTTCGGTCTGACGATGCCGAGCCTTGGCAAGTCGGTAGAGGTGCCGCTCACCATCACGTGAATCGAGCTCCTTACTGACATCTTCGAAGTGGGCGGCCTTCGCTGCAGCCACAGCCTTCTTCGCTACATCTTCGCTTCTTTGTACTTACGCCAGCTACTAGCTGACTTGTCGGCAAGAAACGCGTGGTAGCGCCTCTTCTTCTCGCGAACCGTTTCTTTGACATTGTCGGTCCATAACCACGGCTGCTTATCAATTCTACGCCTTCCCGGCTTCGTGACGCCAAGTTCGGAACGAGCGGCCTCATGTATCGCTTTGGCAGCACTTTTCCAGGTCTCATCGACAGTCGTGACGGTGGGAAGTCTTATACGAGAGATCACAGCTGCCTCCTTTTCTTTCAAGCGCCACCATTTAATCCTCTCGGGACCACATCGCTCGACCCGTTTGGACCGGAGCTTTGCGATCTTTAGCGTGCAGATTAGTGGGCGATGTTGTGTGGCAACTGTCTCGTACGGCACCGTCTTCGCGTCCGTGATGAGCCCTTGGTCGCGGTGTCTAACAAGGACAAAGTCTATCTGCGTTCTGGCACTCCCACTGTAGAAGCTGATAAGAGTGGG